TTTTTTTTAGGAAAAAAGGAAAACTACACCTCACTTGCAATTGGTTAGCTATAGCAGAGACCGGCGACTGTGCAGCTACGCCGGCTGGGTATCGGCTGGGGATCGGATGGCAATCGGGATGGCCGGAATTACCGGCTGCCGGAGAGTCGTCACCGGCTGACTATGGATGGCCCAGAATACCAACGTTGCTCAGCAAATCGCGGTACAAGTGTCTGATGTAATGTGAAACGCACTGCGTTCCTGTTTTGTTGGGAATTTATACGTACATGCACATGGCAGCGCGCTGCTACATGGCTCGAAAATGCATTACAGAGTGAAAACTATAACACATACTCGACGTCTCAGCACGCGAGCGGCCCTTCTCCAAACAAATCAGATACATGAAAGAATTCATGTAAATTGTCCCATAGAGGCTGCTTACCCAAACTTGTCTTAGAATTCAATGTGAAAACTAAGTTCATCTTTCTGCGTCATTTTTTATTCGCCATGGTTTGATAAACTGTTGCTACTCAAATTCTATTGTATGACTAAGAACAATAAATTAATAAAAAAATGTCTTACATAACGAAATTGCTAGTACAAAAAAGTGATCCACCTTCACAAAGGCAAACTAATTTTGTTGCCTCCTATTGCAAGAAACGCAAGAATTTCGAAACTGACGTGGGCCTTTTTTCCGCGGGTCAGTCACTGAACTGCAATTATAAGCGAACAGATAAAGTTTTAATATGTCGAGAAAAGTTCGAAAAAGAGAACATTTTCTCCTATGTAGTGCCTGGCAAAGGCGGCCACTTTTGATTATGCGCTCCAATCCCAATTTAAAGGGTGCGAAACACAGCGAACCAAATGGCTACCGTGAAATGGAAGTGCGGGCACAACTTGCATTTCTTTTGGGACGGTGACCTATGGCTCGGAAGTGTTGTATAATATTTCCAGGTTTCTGGTAATACTTGCCTTCTCTTTTGTATTATCTTATTACCCAGTAAAAGTTGATTTTGTGATGTACTTGATTTCATGTCTTCTCTCAGCTTTTGCTATTGATTTTTTACGTATTTGTTGAGTGACATTCCCGTGTTATGTCTAGAATCTGTTTGGAGCATTGGGACTTCTCTATCGGCAGTTATTTCTTATGCAAGTGAATTACCAAACAAGCTCCTTTCTTTTCTAAAAGATTATTTTTTCTGTTTTCGTTTCTGCTTGGTTGTATTTTGACTGCTTTTGGTCAATGGCCACGAAATCATGTTGATTACAGGGTAGAATGGGTCTTTTTAATAAGCCCATTATCATCGATGGTAAAGATCACCTCCTTGGACGTCTTGCCTCGATTGTAGCCAAGCAGCTGCTTCAGGGCGAGAAGGTTGTCGTTTTGAGATGCGAGGAAATCAACATTTCTGGAAATTTTCATCGATCGAAGCTGAAGTACATGAGTTTTCTTCGTAAGAGATGTAACATTAACCCCGCTCGTGGTGCTTTCCACTACCGATCACCTGGAAAAATTTTCTGGAGGACCGTGAGAGGTAAGCGGATTTAGTGCCATAAAATGATTTAAGAAATCATATTCTTCTTATGCTCAGCTATTATTTATAACCGCTAGAAGATGGGTGGGAAAAGAAACTGGGAAACATACAAACATGCTTAAAGTTTCTGACATTCTTGCTAGAATTTCAACGATTTTCTGGGACCTTGTTTCCATTTCCTGTTTTGTATGAATGTGCACATTGTGCAAATCAAAATTTATTCTACTTCGGCGTCGGTAATTTTTCTTCTTGACTATGATAAGCCATTTTATTGTCATTCCGCCATTGGATTAGTGATAGTCTA